CATTGAAGACCCTACAGCGGGTCGAATCGATTACTTTTCAGTTATGATACCAGCTCTAAAAATTCTAAAATCTTGTATGTATAAGTTTGTCATTAGAAATGATGAACACAGTCAAATAATTTTATTGGACAATAGGTAGTGACTAGTATCATGTATCTGGTCCTTTGTTTGGTGCAGAGTGAATTCTATCAGTCAAGTTTACAATCTGTCCAAACCAAACCAGGTGGTCCAACATTACGGAACACTCTGAATTGTTGTTAATAGATGGTTGGAGGCCATGGGCCACAGGAAGCCTTGCGTGACCCAGGTTTCGTACTTGCCGACACTCAACAGTCATTCAGCAAGACGTATCTGCGATCTCCAAGGAAGTGACGTCCCTGCTGCACCGTAATTTGTAGCCAACTAGCATAGTTGGGTCACGTTGTGACGGTGTGATACAGACAATGGTTTCCAACAGAATATTATTCTCACAGTTCAGTACTGCATTAGCAACAGAATACTATATGCGTATGTATTTGAACATTCTATTTCATATCGTTTAATGTAAACCAAAATCACACGCACAGTAGTGTTGGTTAAAGAACATAAAACTGCATTTAAATGGCTGTTTGATCACTTGAAAACATACCTTGGCTTCTGTATCTTGCATTCTGCTGTTAAGATGTCTCAAACTTAATTAATTAATAGAATTTCTTCTGTACCAAAGATAGGACTAGACAGATGATGCTAGTTACCAACTCGTTTCCAATCAAAGCATCCAATACAGTCGTACAGAACTTCAGTTGCCGACCCGAATAGCTCAGTGGTAACGTCATCTCTAACTGCAGTCCTGGGTAATGTGGGTTCGAACCTCAGAAGAGACATGAGTTCCTTCAAGGTTGGAGATATGCCTTACTGACTGACTGGTAAATGCCAACAAGTACGAAACCCGAGTCCCTCAAATCTTCTTGTGGCTGGCTGCCTCCAGCTATCTAGTAAAATAGTCGAAAAAGAGTGAAAACATGATGTTTCAGAAGGCAGTAGAGGTAAAATTTGCGTTCATCTGTAGAGTTCTTTTTTTTTTTATTCATTTACGTTCCCATTGCTGGAACATAGGGCGCCTTCAAGCTAAAGCTTTGAAGTTTCTGTGGTACTGGTGACTATTTTTACAGGATGGGTTGCTATCCAGCCTCATGCCAAACCTCCCCTCTTTACCATTCTTATTATTGGCTTAGAGAGGTAGAGGAGTGCGTTGGCTGAGGATCGAACCCCAAACCACCTGCGTTGTAGGCGAGCACACTACCGCTGTACCACCGACGCCATCTGTACAGTTTATGTTTGTGTAATCATATGATTCTGATGTTGTCATAGGACTCATGTGTATATTTTCCAAGTAAGATCCCTTGTCTATGGAAAACATATGCCTTCATGGCTTGGAGTACTTACACAGCTTAATAAATTTATCCGTCTTAAACAGACATCTGAAGCTTTGTATTAGATTATATCCGCATTTATTTCTTGCTTCTGTAATGCGAGTGTAAAGCACTGTTAATTAAATGTCAGTGCCCAACCCCCTGATAATGTTGGATTCCAGTGGTTGAATGGTCTACAAGCTTGACGTGTAACAGGAAAGTTCTAGGTTTGAACTCCACTGGATGCGTACTGCCAACGAGCCTGAAACCGGGAAAAACCAGCTGTCCAGTACTCTCTGCTCATTGTACGTCTGTGAGTCATTGGTAAAATGCTCGCTAACCACCAACACGATTCAGTGTTTGAACCCCGGTTGACGGGTTCACTCCTAAACCCCGTCTATTATACTAGTCAATAGTAATTACGGAAGATACCCCGTAAAAAGTAACGCCACAGATGATGAGAGACTTCAAGGCTTCAATTCTGGAGCCTTATGTATCCACTAGAACTCAAAAGAATTAGGAGACTCAAGTGTTGGTTTTTAGGGATTTGATTGATTTCAGGATTTTTTCTTCATGAGCTGACATTAGTTAGAGAACCAATGGAAAACCTGGGAGTACTGGACGGCTATTTCGTCCTAGTTTGGGACTCTTCAGCAGTACGCACCCACCGGGATTCGAACCCAGGACCTTCCGGTTACAAGGCGAGCTCGTATACCATTAAGCCACTGGGTTTTCCAAGGTTTTCCAATGGTTCTCTAACTAATGTCAGCTCATGATGAAATCCTGAAATTAGGAGACTCTTCTCAGATAATGTGCAGCTATCATGCGATGTGTTTCTACCTGCCTATCCTTTTGGAAAGCTACTGTACTAAGCATAAATAACAAGATTCACATTTTCAATGCTAATGTCAAGTCAGTCAGCTCTTCTATATGATTCGGAGACTTTGCACGCGCGTCACCAAAATCACTTTCAACAGGCTGGTTCATACTTGTATCAACAGCTGTCATCGCTCATAACCGAGAATCAAATGTCCAGAAAGGATTATCAGTAGAGAGCACTATCAGGCAAAGGATCAACCGAGAACCTGTTACCAAACAAATATATACAGAAAAGAATGGAGGTGGCTCGGATGAAAGCTGAAGAGACTAGTGTATGTGACATCTTGGGCCAGGCAAAGTGGGTCTGAGAGTGATATGGAGGTGATGAGTGTTTGTAGGAAATCATTAAGCAGACCTTTATCAACAACTGTCTTTGCCGGCTCTATACTGAAGATCAGATGGCCGGGCCGGAAAGAATCACCAACAAGAAACTATGGCTGGGAACACACAAAACAAGAACCAATCGCCAACCAAAAAACATGCAGGAGAAAGTGGATTGAGATGGATTGGACACTCGCAGAGGAGGCCAGCTGGTGACATCGTGCATCAGCCCATCACTCGAGGGGAAGCTGAAAGGGAAGCGGCGAATGGGACGTCCAAGGGTGACATAGAGGAGATAGTGTGAGAAGAGTTGAAACAGTATGGACTAACATGGATGCAGGTGAAAAGTACAGTAGTGGAGACGTGCAGTTAAAGCCCTATTTTCCACTAGGAACCCAAGGGAACAGTAATAATAATAATATATTAAGCAAGCTAAAATATTGGTCCACCGAGGAAGAGGGCTCTCGAGTGGTTGCGCCACAGGATGATCCTGCATGCAGGTCTCATCTCGCAAGAGGCAGGGATGGGTGTGTTTGGTTCTCCTGAAAACCAATACCCAGTCAAAGGGTGTATCACTGTGTGAATTTGTGCGTCGGTAACATAGCGGTTAGGACGCTCGCCGATTATGCACATGGTCCGGGGTTCAATCGTAGGCCAACGCACTCCTTTAACTCGCTAAGCCAGAAATAATTCTGGTAATGAGGAAAGGTTGGGCATGAGGCTAGTAACCCTATCCTGTAAAATAAACACTGCCACAGAAACTTCATGTCACTAGCTTGAAGTCCTATCTTCCACTGGGGAACGTGAAGGAAAAAGCAAACTAAGAAGGGCTTTGGAGAATGGAGTGAAACGGAAATGAGTTGCTGAAGCCCTATATTCCACTTGAAACCTAGGCGAATAATAATAATATAGTTCGGTCGGTCTTCTGCTAACAGTCGTGATCGTAGTGACTTCAGAGGAGGAGAAGAATATTAACTGAAGGTGGAAGAATACTATTGATCCAGTGTGTTATTGATGATTGAATGCAAAATGGAATCTGGTTAGTGGCAAGATTCAAAGTAGTGGCCTTTTAGCTTAGCAGTTTGATGCTTCATCAGCCGACGTGATAAATTGATTCGTTAGCCAAATGAGTATTTCACCTTCACTCGTTGCCCATATTCCATCAATAACAGTTTGTCAATACATTTCTAACTAGGATAGTCTCATAATCACTGAACAGTCTTCTGTTCTGGGCCCCCCATAAACGACCTGGTATGACCGAAGGTTGGTAGACTCAAGTGGTCACACGTTCACATCCCCTCCAGGCCCGATAATTTCTATTCACTGCCTTAACATGGTAACAGTGCTTTTGAGATAAGTAGAAGGGCTGAAGTGAACCTCCAGCCCTTACAGCAGGACTGGTGGGCTGTGAAACCCTGATTCCAAACCTGTGGTGTCCATCGAATACAGAATCTGAATAGATCGAATGAGATGCCAACCAATTTCAGTCACCAGAGACATTGGAAGCCTAACTCCTGATACCCACCACTACCTTGTGGATTATACTTAGTTGGTGGGGAAGGTTGGCTTCTTAATACAACCACCTGCTTCGGTCTCGGTATCCTGGTGTCGTCCTAGAGAGAGAGGTTTTGTATAGCACATGTTCATATTATGTTGTGCTTATGTTTCAATAATAATAATAACAGTAATGATTTTCTGCCTCTGAAGCATTACATATATGGGATCGGGAAGTGGGGAGACAGGTAGAAGAGTGAACGAACAACAACGTGACATTTACCGATTCACATGACAGCTAGACACTATCCACTGTAATTGCAGTGGAATGACAGTCTGGTTAGCGGTTAAATTTCATCTTTCAGCTGGTAGAGCTCTAGATTAAAAATTTGGAGGCCACTGGTTCAAATTTCGTCACCTTCCAGATTTTTATAACATCGCCAGTCATCACCCTTATTATGAGCAGTAGTCTACCAGTCCCGGCCAACGTACTCAGTGGCACAGCATTAGGACGCTCGCCAACCATGAACATGGTCAGGGATTCGATCCCCTGTCGACGCACATCTGATATCAATAGTCGTTCTGCTGAATTTGGGCTACCAATATCACATGCGGAAAATTCCATACTTGTATCAAAATACTGTATGGAATGAAGCTAGAATAAAATATACATATACTCGTACTGTAGACCTCTCATCAAGGACTCCAGCCAAACACTTCTGTGTACCAGCGGTCCTTGAGTAGGATTCTCACCGAATAAGCACATAGTCCGGATACGCTTCCCTGTCTAAGCACTCCACCTCACCTCGCCTAGCCGACAGAAGTCCAGAAAACAATAAAGGTTAGGCATGAGGCTAGCAATGTTTAACAACGCTATCCATACAAAATAATTAAGCAACAAAGGCGTCTACCTACCACAAACAGCAATCGCCAATCTTGGGCCTAAATCACGTGTTGGATTCACTGAAGTACCAGCATTCATTGACAATGCACCTATTCGACCAGTTGTGAATATTGCCATATATACACATCGATATCGTCGAGATATTTTATGGTTCCGCTTATCACGTAATAATAAAACAAATAGTGTAGTAAGCGTACTCACAAAAACGCGATCAATAAAACAGACATAATGTGATGCAGATGGAGTTAAGACAAATAAACTGATGACATCGTCATCATCATCATCAACGGAAGTAGGAAGACAGTTTTTATTCCCATCGATAATACTTTCACGATAGGTTATAAATAGAACTAGGCTGGAGAAGAATGATCCAATCAATTGAACTGTAGTCAGGGGGAATAAGTAGCGCAGTGGGATTCGACCGATTATTGTAAATGACAAGGTTGTCGCTGGATTCATACTACCATAACCAATTACACTGGAAATAATTGAGAAAGGATGAATGCTGTAGACCATCCAGTCGGTAGAGTTAAATAACTATAATCTTTATCATTGCTGTCACTGAACTGATGTCTTAGAACACGTTGCATCACTGTTCCCAGACCAATGGTGATTAAAATGTATGTACCGAAGAATTCACCCAAACAAGTCAATACTAATGGTTTATGTATGATAAAAGCAATTTTTTGTTTAAATTTATTCAACATATTGATATAATTTTTGTAAAGTGAATTTTGAACATAAGTTAAGAATGTAAAAGTTAATTTTTCTGTATGAAAATATATATAATTAACAACTTAAAGAGTGCGCTTCGATTTGATTGGTTAATTTGTACCAACCAATAAGATTTCAGTTTTACAACAAACCATATACTATTTATGATGATGAGTAGCCTGATACCACTAAAATCAACCAGTAGTTGGAGTCAAGCTCATCAGTGATGTACCTAACCTGTTTGACTTAACTCAGAGAGGTGAATCAGTTCAAATCACACAAGTTCACTTTCGTTCCTTTGAGTTCAAAGAGCAATACTGAACTTCAAGCTTTTACATTTCAGTAAGGGGTACTGATTTTTCCCCTACGTAGGGTTTCAAGCCTCATACCCAAGTGTTTTCTCTCCCCACGACTTTATTCCAGGTAATAAGCTAGACAAGACTTAGGATTAATAAATGTGTAGAACTTGTGTACTGTAGTAGTAAGTAATTGCATATTATTTTGTTTATTAATATACCATACGATAACTGAAAAAGTATTATTTACTGGATGACGAAGTTGATAACACATTTATTATTTCACCAATTATAATCAAACGACTTCAAAACTTGAGTTTCATAGTTTCCTTTGTTCTTTCTTATCGTCGTTGTAGGCGTGGTAGTAGAAGTTTCCAGATATCTGGTTGAACAGGTGTTGAATCATTCATTCCTATTACGCGTATTCTCTGTCAGTTGATTCGATAAACAAAGCTTCCGTTATCAATCTCTCCCTCCACCCCCACTGCTACATTAGATTTCAAAACTGTCATTTTATCCCATTCCCATCGTATGCTGTGTGGTTGTGTGCAATTGCATGTAGTGAGTGCCACAAATGAACTGTTCTCCAGGTTTCTTATCTTATTCGAGTCAACTAATCTAGATTTAGCTGGTGAGATTTTATGCTCCATTAATCTGACTGACTGCCCATATTCTACAAGTTTGACCTATGTATTTGACCTGAAAATCATTGCGGGTAGGGTATTAGATAAACTTAATTAATGCCCAAATCTAATAACCTCAGTAGGATGTATGGTGTTGTTAAAGTTCATTAGTCAGGATACCCTATTGGCCAGACCTAAGGTTGATTTTAGAAATTCACCTACTAATGAATTATCTAAATATTTAGCCAAGATATTTAATTTCCTTAAAAGCCACTCAAAATCCACACTAACAAATTCTTATAAACTAAAAAACAGATCAGATAATTCAAAATTATATAATGAGGAGAAAATGGTTAGTTTTGACATTGTCAGTTTATATACGCGTATACCCATAGTAAATATGGCTATAGAGGCAATCAGAAACGAACTCATTTCTGACCGAGAACTCGAACTGAGGACATAATGCTGGGAGTGCAGCTATGCCTGACTTCAACAGTATTTAAATTCCGGAGTAAAATATACAAACAGACTGAGGGAGTTGCCATGAGGTAACCAATATCCCCAGTTGTGGCGGGTATATTGATGGATAGGTGGAAAAACATAGCGATTGAAACGTTCACCCCCACCTCAAAAGTATGGTGGAGGTATGTAGACGACACATTCACTATACTCATAACACAGGATGTAGATAGATTTTTCGAACACATCAACTCAAAGGTGGAGGCAATTCAATTCACTTATGAATTGGAAAGTCAGGAAGGAGAGCTTCCAATGTTAGATTGTAGCGTAAAAAGAAAAGAAGATGGGAAAGTAAACACTAGTGTGTGTTTACAGAAAACATATACATTCAAACAGATATTTGGACTTCAGATCACACCACCCTTTGTCAGTGAAAATAGGATTGGTGAAATTTTTAAATGACAGAGCACAAAAAATAAGTATTGCCAAGGTAAATCTAAGACAGGAAGTGAGGCATATAAGAGAAGCTTAAAACCTAATTAATAATAACCGTGACAAATTAATCAGGAAGTATATAACAAAATGTAAAAATAATATAAATAATGATAGTAGTGATAGTGATAATAATAATAATAATGACGACATGCATGTCATATATGCACAAGATAATGACAACACCAACAATAGGGAATATTCCATACAAGGGAGGAACCTCGGAAACCTTACGCAGAATTCTCAACAATTCAGGAATAAAATTTGCTGGCACTGAAACATACAAACTCAATTACAAACAAGCTTTGTCGGTTAAAGGATCAATCCTGTGGAGCCTTTAAAACAAAACAATTTCATTTATCTAATACCCTACCCGCAATGATTTTCAGGTCAAATACATAGGTCAAACTAGTAGAACATGGGCAGTCAGTCAGATTAATGGAGCATAAAATCTCACCAGCTAAATCTAGATTAGTTGACTCGAATAAGATAAGAAACCTGGAGAACAGTTCATTTGTGGCACTCACTACATGCAATTGCACACAACCACACAGCATACGATGGGAATGGGATAAAATGACAGTTTTGAAATCCAATGTAGCAGCGGGGTGGAGGGAGAGATTGATAACGGAAGCTTTGTTTATCGAATCAACTGACAGGGAATACGCGTGATAGGAATGAATGATTTAACACCTGTTCAGCCAGATATTTGGAAACTTCTACTACCACGCCTACAGTGACGAATAGGAGAGAACTAACAAGTTGTGTTATTATAATTGATGAAATGATTATGAGCAGAAATAAATTGTATTCGAAACTGTGTCATCCAATAAATAATACTATAGTTTTCGTTTGTAGGGTTGGTTTTGTTTTTTTACTGGTTGTTCACGGATTGATATCAGTTAGGGAAGCATTGAAAACCAACCAGAAGTACTAGACAGTCAGCTGTTTCGTCCTAGTTTGAAAATCATCGGCAGTACGCACCCACTGGTAGAAGTTAGAATTCATGAGCCATTGAATCGGGTCCCAGTGGCTGATTGGCATACGAGTTCGCCAGCTTTCTAACCAGAAGGTCCTGCGTTCGACCCCTTTTGATGAGGGCGTACTGCTGATGATTCCCGAAAAACTAGGATGTAACGGCTGACTGTCCAGTACTCGCTGGCTGGTTTTCAATGCTTCTCTAGCCGATATCAATCCGTGATCAATTCGTAAAAGCAAAACCAACAGTAGAAATTTAATCTGATTCTCGCTATTGACTTGCTGTAGGATGGAGTTTCCTGGAGTTCTACTGAGAAGTCGTGACTAGTGAGGTCCATCCAGTGAAGTATGAAGATGGATGTTCCACTGACGACTTTGGTTAATGTAGCGCTAAATCACAAATTGGTAGAGGTTAGAATTCATGAACTTGACATTATGGAGTCGGGTCCCAGTGGCTGAATGGTATACGAGCTTAGCCTTGTATCCAGAAGGTTTTGGGTTTGATCCCTGCAATAGGTGCATACTGACGATGATTCCTAAACTAGAATGAAACGGCTGACTGTCCAGTACTCCAGTGCTGATTTTCAATGGTTCTCTAAATGATATCAATCCGTGATCAACTCGTAAAACTAATATTGTTTCAGTGAGTGTGTGATACATCTAATAAACAGACTAATATGGAATTACTTACTACCACAATACCCAAGCTGTACGCATATGCATTCATATGACAAACAGTTCATTATTGGAAAACTGTGATCCTTTAATGCAACTATAAAAACAGACATAACATAAATGTGAAAAGAGAACAGGAATTTATAAAATATCATTTCTAAAATTTAGATTTTCTTTCTCTTTGTTTATTCAAGGAACAGAGTGAACGAGTGAGTGAGCGAGTGAGTGAGTGAGTGAGTGAGTGAGTGAGTGAGTGAGTGAGTGAGTGAGTGAGTGAGTGAGCGAGTGAGTGAGTGAGTAAGTGAGCGAGTGACTGAGTGACTGAGATAGAATGATGAAATGAGAGGGAGAGACTGTTTGTATGTGTATGTGACAGAGTTAACAGTTTACTAACAATAACTCTTGTCTGTAAACTAGTACTATATTAGACATAGAAATATAAACAGAAAGATGACACAAAAACCTGCATGAGGATACCTTCATCATCAAAACTCACGTCATCATCATCATCATCATCAATCGATCAATCAATGGTAATTCAGCTTGACAGTAACAATTTGTGTAAATAACATTATTGCTAATAAACTAGAATTTAATTGGTGGATAATGACTAGCAGTGGAATCAAGCCAGGATGTGCATTTCGTCCTATTTAAGACTCGTCAGCCAGTGGATGTACTTACATTCCCCAGTGGTTGATGGAAACATGACGAATCCCAAATGAGACAAAATGCACATCCTGACTTGATTTTGACTGCTAGTCACCAGTCACCAATTAATTTCTAATTACACGCCCAAACATTGTCAAAGCATCTGCACAAAAGCCAACATGTTAATCTGGGATAGAGCGGCACTTCGGTCCAACCAATCTACGAGAAAATCTAAAAAATTCAATTAAATTATTAATAAACGTTGTATTAAAAAAAGAAAATATAACTGAGATAGATTGTGATTAGAAAATTAAGTTTTAAATGAAGTACACTTAATGGATTTTAGAGAACTTTAAAACATTTATTTAGGTTCTCCTTTTCATTCGTTCATTCATTCATTTGCTTCGAAGTTTCAGTAGGGGTGGTACCCCATTTTGCTTATGAAGTGAGGTCAATAGATGTACGATCAACCTTTCCTTTTATTATTCGGGTTATTAACAGATGGGTGGCACCCTTGGGTAAATGAACCAGTCCCGTATGGATGGTTGACTAGCATAAACCACTGACGCAATAATAATAATAATTTTTGCTTTATTCCAAAACAGTACTAATGATACAGCAAGGAATTTTCAGCATTTCAGTACAATATTGCATCTAATTTACTCAAAAACGACAAAAAAATTAAGAATACACATTACATAATAGTAATAAAACGATTGTTATAGCAGCTACATAGCAAAATACTGTATGCAATACGGTGAAAAATATGCATAAAGTACAAAATTGTAGTAATAATAGTAATACCAACTAAAATAAAATAGCAGAGTAACGATTTAAACGATAGAAAGTGTGACA